CGCCCGCGCTCCCCCCCTCCCCCCCTCTCGCGCGCGCGCGCACACTCCCGCGCTCTCCCTCGCGCGCCCGCTCCCGCTCCCTCTTTTTCTTACACATGTGCTCTGTCGCGCACGCCCTCATACGCGCACATGTGCACGCACAGACAGACACACACACACACTCTCTCTCTCTCCCTCACGCGCGTGTGCACACGCACGCCCCCCACCCCACGCACACGCACCAACGCCGCAGCCTCCACCACCACACACACAAACTCGCTTCCCCACATACGCACGCACACACACACACCCTCTCTCCCATACATGCATACACACAAATGTATGATGTGAATTTGCATTTGCAGGTTTGTAATTTGTTCAAAAAGCACGCAATCTGTAGACAATCTGGCATTTTACAAATTTATACTTTGGAAATAAAACCAGTCTGACTCCAAGTTAATAATTCAGTTAAATCCAAACCACTGGTTCACCATATAGTCCTTGAGTCTATACCTCTATTTATAAAATCCATAATTCAATATACTTGATTAACTATCCTTACCATCCACTCTGCCACCTTTAACAAAGTATTGACACCTGAATTGTACATCCATATCCCAGGTCCTTATGCTCTTCCATCCCCTCTCATTCTTCTTCCCAAAATATACCCTTTCACGTTATTCTGCATTTAAATTTGATCTGTCCACCAATTTCACCTTTGTCTTCGTCAGAATTTACTATACTGCCAAATTTTGTGTAAACTATAAAGTTTGAAGATAATGCTGTGCTTGCTGTTATGGTTTCCAGAGTCTGATAATTTTCAAACGGACATTCAAATTTCTAGTGAAAAGCTGAAGGAATGACATGACAACATTTCATGATGTTTACCGTATGAAAGCACAAAAAACTGACTAAACAATATCTTTGCAGCAACTTGTATTTTAAACCACAAAACTGAACATCTGAAAATAGATTTCACAGATACACTTTGCACTGCCCTTTTAGTTGGCATTTAACTCTCCCAAAGTCAATCCAAAGCGATTCTTAGCTCCTGAGAGTTTCCTTCTGTTCTTTTCTTAGCCTGGCAATGTTTAATCCCAAAACTTTCTTTCACAGTAGATTCTTCCTCTAGCTGAATTAAACACTGCTCTGAATCCCCACTATCAATATCCTGGGACTTACTATTGAGGAGGTACTGAACTGTACCGGTTGTAAAAATACAATGAACTACTAAAAGGAATTTAAACCTTTCTTGGGACGACCTTCGAGGTAGAAAAGTGAAGAACCATGTCACCCCTCTCAACCTGGTCATAACACCAGCCAGAACAAAGCATCCCACGTGATTGGCACTCCATCGCCACCTTAAACTTCTACTCCCTTGGTCAGTGGTGCCCGGTGGCAGTAGTGTGTCAACAAGACGCAGTGCAACAATCCACTGAGACTCTTCCAACAGGACATCTGAAATGGTCACCCTTTACTACCTCGAAGGACAAGAGCAACAATTGCATGGGAACACTACCATCCTCAAATTCCCCTTCAAGCCACATACCATTTTGGCTTGGACTTGTAGCACTGTTTCTTCAATGTTGCTGGGTCAAATCTAAGACACCCTCCTGTCAGTACTATGGGTGCACCTACACTACAGGGACTGTAACAGTTCAAGATGCTGGTTCACCACCGGCTTCTCAAAAAGTGCTGGCCTGGCTCTCAATTCCCACATCCAGTGGAAGGACCCATATTCAAAAAATGTTTCAGAAATGCCATATAGAGACAACAATAAAAGCCTTCACCAGTTGCTTTTGAATATAATGTCTCACATTGAAGAGCTATACATTGCTTGGTTTAATTTCAGTAGTGCTATATCTTGCTCAATCCTTGTACATTTTGTTCAAGCTCCAGAACTTGAACACACAACATAACAGTGCCTTATTGATCCACTGTTACATTATTTGAAGTGTTTTAGAATAAGTCTTTAAACTGAGAGACAACCCTCCTGTTCCAGCAATGCAAGTGGATGTCCAAGATCGCATGGTACCATTGAGAGGGGAGTGTGATGTTTCCCTGGGAAGTATTCATCTCAGTTAATATCATCACAAAAAATGATTGGTCATTCACTTCATTTGCTGATTGTGGGCTATTGTGTTTAAATTGGCTTCCCCATTGGCCCATAGAAACACTGAGTGTAATCCAAAACAGAGAAATAATTTGTTGCGACGTGCCATAGGATAGTCTGTGAAGATTATAAGGCATTTCTTGTATGCCAGTTTGTGTTTACTGATATTCAACTGATTGCTTGTGCGCGTCTCTTGAGATAGAAGTTACACAGCTCTTTATACAAAGTCAACTGATATGCAAAATTTGTGGAATTGATTCTAAACCTTCTGACTGTAATGTGCTTGATTTACACTTTGTTTTGAATTGATGTGCACAAGTGGCAGTTTTCATTAAGGCAGAAGTGCCAGTATGGTGACATTTTAAATTATGGTCAGCTGCTTCTGCCTTCACTATGTGGTTGAAATCGTCAATCATGTGTGAATAAAAGCAGACATTCCTACCAGATATGTGGCCAACATGTCTCCTTTGATCCAGCTACACGAATGCAGAATAAGGGTCCATTCACTCTCTCAGCCCGTTGGGGTCTTCCTATGAGCCGATTGACTGCTGCTATGTAACGAGTGACAGGACTGTAAATGTAGTCTGTTGTTGGGAGTGCATTTTTGAGAAATCCTGAGGATGTGATGACCCGTTATGTAAATGCAAGATTCAGAATGTAATGTGGAAAATGTGAGGTTATCCACTTTGCTAGGAGAAATAAATGTGCAGAGTGTCGATGTACAAAGGGACTTCGGTGTCCTTGTTGCAGGTGTAGCAAAGGGAATGGAATGTTAGCCTTCATTGTATGATGATTTAAGTACAGGTCTATTGAAGTCCTGCTTTATTTGTATGATTGGTTAGGCCCCAACTTGAGTACAGTGTGCACTTTTGGTCTCCTGAACTTAGGAAAGGTATTATTGCCATAGATGGAGTGCAACAAAAGTTCATCAGACTTGTTCCTGGGATGATGGGAGCATCCAGTCGTCTTGTAATCTCTAGAATTTTGGAGAATGTGAGGTGCTCATACCTACAAAGTACTTAAAGGGACATACAGGATTGATACAGGTAAGATGTTTCCCCTTGTTGGAGCATCTGGAACAAAGGGAAACAATTTATAAGTAGGAGGGTTACCACTTAGGTTCAAGATGAGGAGAAATTATTTTACTCGGAGCATTGTGAAGCTTTGGAATTTTCTACCACAGTGTAATATGAAGACTCGGTCTTTGAATATGTTTAAGGTAAAGATTGATAGATTTCTCATTACCAACGGCCTACAGAGTTATGTGGATGGGATGAGTAAAAGACATTCAAGTGTTCAATCAGCTATGATCGTGTTGAATGACAGAACAGGTTTGATGGGCTGACTGTTGTACTCCTGTTCTTATTTTCTTATTTTACCATCTTGGCTTTTCCTATTATTGCAGGTTGTCCAGTTAGAAGAGATGCTTGAAGTGAGACACTCTGTCTTTGTTGTGGGTAACGCTGGAACTGGCAAGACACAGGTCCTGAAATCCTTATACAAGACTTACCAGAACATGAAACGCCGACCAGTCTGGACTGATCTTAATCCTAAGGCTGTCACTAATGATGAGCTCTTTGGAATCATCAACCCAGCAACCAGAGAGTGGAAGGATGGTATGTAATGGCTACAGAAAACAGACCGCTGAGTGGGATAACTTAGAATTAATTCACCTGCCAGTTTGATTTGTTGAGTGATTGGACAGCTCAATGTTGAGTGTTATTGTATCCTCGGCAAGACTTTTGTTTGGCTGGTTGGTTGCATTGTTCATGACTTTAATTGATTCACTTGCATATCATACATGTCATATCTGGTCACGGCACAGTCAAGTAGCAGTATACACAGTTACTTAGGCTAGTTAATTGGAGAGTTGCTGTCAATTGTAGAAGTAAGCCACAACATTGCTTATTACTATTTTCATTTGAGGGGAGAACGTGAAAATTAATATTGCTGAATAGAGCAAGAGGATCTGTGATTCAATTTGAGAGGTTCCTGATGTTATCTAAGATTAGTGTACCTCACTTGGCAGTCTGTGTATCAACTAAGGACAGCCTCTTTGTGTGTTCAATCCTTAGGGCTCATCTCATGTATCATGCGTGATCTGGCAAACATAACTCATGATGGTCCCAAATGGATTGTGCTCGATGGCGACATTGATCCTATGTGGATTGAATCTCTCAACACCGTCATGGATGATAATAAGGTAAATGGACAGATCCATCCAGTTGGAGTCGGTAAGAAGGAAACTTTGCTAACTGAAGACTAGTAAAAAGAACAATCCACTGCTCCTATCCTCCTATTGACTCTGCTTTATTAAAAAAAAAAGCTGTGATGTCTTGAATCTAATCTTCAACCTTATTTCAGAGGATTCCTGTAATAGTCTACCTGCTAAGTCATAAAAATCTTACCCCAGTATGATATTTTTATGTAAGAATATCAACAAAAAGTGGAGTGCGATGGATGAAAGAAACTTTAATAATAAAAAAGTGTTTTTCACATTCCTAATGACAGTCACTATTATGCCGAGAATTGCACTGTTCTGAGAATGTCAAGACACCTTGATGTTTGGCCCAATGCTTCCAATATCTGAGCTGCGATGGTAAACATTGTAATCGATAAGGCATCTGTCAGTTACACCCTTCAATGCATGTTTGCATTCCAGTGTAACAATGCTGTTCTACAGATTTATATATTGAAACAGCTTGTTTTCAACCACATCCTCTCCATTGCTTCAGGAAAGAAGTTGCAAAAGCATTTGTCCATTAACAATTCGCACTGAATTTAATTATCAACACATACTTTTTCCAAATGGCAAATAATTTTGCTTTGATTCATGCCTCTAACATTTTACCGACCACCACTACTGCTCTTAGGCTGACAAAGCTGATGTTCCATCCTCTTCTCTTTGTCCATTTTTAAACAGGGATGTAAAATTTGTAAACCTGCAGTCCACTGTCATTTCTCCCATTTCTAGAGAAAATTGGAAGGTTAAAGCATGTTATCTCATAAGTATCTCTTTATGTTCCTCAACAATTGAGGATTCAGATGGAGTAATTTTCCTGCTTTGAACCTTTTAAGTATAGATGTTGAAGTGCCATTCCTTTATTTATTTTTATCCTATCCATTCTTACTACTACCTCCCTTTCTTTGACATTGGCGTGAAAACAAATGCAAAGTATTAATTTAGCATCTTGGCCATGCTGTCTGCGATCACAAGAAGCTTTCGTTTTGATTCCTAATAAGCCCTATTCTTCATAATTTTCCATTATACTGTAGATAAAATAATTTGGAGTTCCTTTTATATTAACTGCTACTCTACTGTGTTTGCCCTTTCCAATCTCCTATCTCCGCTTTCTGAAGGTCAAGAAAACAAAGCTATCCTGTTTGATACCCATCAGCAGCACAAAGATGTCTCTATCTGTGACTCACTTAACTCATTTGGCTGTAACTTCACACCAAAGTGTACAATGGAGTCATTTGATCTTGGGATCGGTTTCCTTTCATACATGATGGTTAGGCCACTTTTGGAATATTGTGTTCAATTCTGGTCTCCCTGCTATAAGAAAGATGCTGTGAAACTTGAAAGGATTCAGAAAAGATTTACAAGGATGTTGCCAGGGTTGGAGATTTTGAGCTATACAGGAGAGACTGAATAGGAGCATTGGAGGCTGAGGGATGACCTTTATCGAAGTTTATGAAATCATGAGGGGCATGGATAGGGGCAATAGTCAAGGACTTTTTCCCCAGGGTAGGGGAGTCCAAAACTAGAGGGCATAGGTTTAGGGTGAGAGGGAAAAGATTTAAAAAGGGCCTAGGGGCAACTTCTTCTTGCAGAAGGTGGTGTGTGTATGGATTGAGCTGCCAGAGGAGGTGGTGGAGGCTGGTACCATTACAACATTTAAAAGGAATTTGGAAGGGTACGTGATTAGGAAGGGTTTAGAAGGATATGGGCCAAATGCTAGCAAGTGGGACTAGGTTAATTTACAACATCTGGTCAGCATGGACGAGTTGGACTGAAGTGTCTATACCTGTGCTGTACATGTCTACGACTCTATGACCTGATTGGTTACCATAGTTGTTTCAATCCATCTCCCAAAGATATCCTGCTCCTGCCATAAGCCTTCTGTAGAAGCTGCAAATTTGTGATCAGGATTTTAACACCTCCGGGTTTGATATCCAAAGCCCTCTTTAGCACCTCCCTACATTTACTGTTCGCAAAGCAGCATTCATTGTGAAGGATGTATGCTGTTGTCTCCCTAAAGTCCTGAATTCTCACCAAACCCATGTTCATCACGATGACTACACACCATGGAACTGATGTCAGGAACTTCATCCTTCGCTTCAGCTCTCCTCTTGGCCTTTCTCCAGGCTAAAATCCCAAATGATTCGCTCACAAAGGAAATTTGCCATCCTTACCCAGTCTGGCCTGTACGTTACTCCAAACCCACAGCAATATTGTTGACTCTTAACTGCCCTCTGAAATGGCCTAGCAAGTCACTCAGTTCAAGGGTAATTAAGGGTAGCCAGCAAGTGCTGGATTGGTTAGCAGCATCAACAGCACGTGAAAGAATAAACAAAAAATCAGCATGCACAATCCTGTTTTTTCTCACACAAACTTAATTCTTATTCTGCTTCTTTGAACTTCAGATCTACTTCTCTGAATGCTTCTTTTGGTCATATTTTTGCTAACCTCACTTTTTGTTCTTCTGCACCCTTCTATTCATATCTGATTTGGACTTCAGTCCTCTAAAGAAAAGCTAGTCCTTATATAAGAGTCTTTCACCCTGCAGATTCTGCTGAAACAAAATATTGTCTTTCTTATCGGGTTGACTATCTTTTTATTGTAGGTTTTGACATTGGCCAGTAATGAACGGATCCCTCTCAATCCAACCATGAGACTTCTGTTTGAAATTAGTCACTTACGCACTGCAACCCCCGCCACTGTTTCGAGAGCAGGTTTGTACAGAACCAGAAATTAATTATGGTAAAAATCCAATCTGTGAGAACTGGGTTCAGTCTTGCAGAGTTTATTCGTCTTTTAAGTACTCCTCGCGTCAAGGCTGTGAATTAGTTCATTGCTGCTCGATGATTTCTTCCTGTTCGGATGCAGTGTGATACTGTGATACAATCAGATCAAGTTCTAACTTTTACCAACAACAGACTTGAGAAACGACCATTAAAAATAACTGTCATTGCTCTTGGAAGGTGGAACTCCAGCTATGAATTTGTCTCTTTTTTTAATTAAAAAAAACAGATATTTGTCCAAGGGATGTGGCCATCACTAGTAAAGGCTTATCCCAAAAAGCCCTTGAGGGCATTTAAAAATGAGCTACATTGCTGGGTCAGATGTGAGCCAGATCAGGTAAGTATGACAGATTTCCTTCCATAGGGGATATGATACTTACACAGATCACAAGCTTGAGTTATAGTAATCGAGGTTAGATTTCAATTTCAGATTTTTAAATTGAACTGTAATTCCAACAGCAGCTTTAATGGGTTTTCAACTCATGGTTTCAGGACATTAACCTGGACGTCTAGATTACAAGCCCAATGACGTTTCCACTTCACCCACCATCGTCCCAGTAGTTTGAAGGTTGAGAAAAGAAGTATACACACAGGTGTTCACATCCAAGGATCCCAAGTCAGACAGTGATCGTTCTTTCTCATGGGCCTTTGGGAAGGGAAATAACGGTAACACCAAAATGTGTGTGTTAAATGTGTGGTAAATACCCTTGCTGTTTCAATTGTGTTCCTTTGCCTGTGTTGTGTTTAAGTGATCCTAAATTTCAGCCTTTCTAGTGCTGTTCCTCAAAATCCAAAGAAAACCTGAAGGCTTGCAAAAGGATTTACATTCTTTGTGTTTTAATTCATAATGTTAAGTTACAGAGAGAAGTCGAAAATGTGATTTAGAGTAGGTGCTTTGGTAAAAGTTGAAAATTCATCCCAATGAGTGCTATGTAAGCCTCATGATGGAGGAAGATTTCTTAGGGACATAACAACAGCAGGAAATAGTGCGGTACCTGATGAAGGATGTAAATCTGAAACGTTGACTTTCCTGCTCCTCTGATGCTGCCTGACCTGCTGTGTTCCTTACAGCTCCACACTGTATTGACTCTGACTCCAGCATCTATAGTTCTTGCTATCTCCCGGTACCTTTGTTTGTTGTGCTTGTTCTATCTTTTCTCCAGCAGATTCTCTGCCTTTTCTCAATTGAGCTTCATACCTGTTCTTTGCCACAAAGAGAAAGACAGACACCTTCAAGGAAAGCAACATACCATTGATCTGGCACGTCTGAAATAAAAGCAGAAAATTCTGGAAATACTCAGCACGTGAGGCAGTACTGTTGTGGAGAGAGACATAAGAACAGGAGTAGCACAGGCAAAGGAACACAATTAAAACAGCAGGGGTATTTACCACACATTTAACACTTTGTGTTGCTATTATTTACCTCCCCAAAGACCCATGAGAAAGATCGATTATTGTTTGACTTGGGATCCTTGGATGTAAACACTTGTGTGTATATGAACACTTGAGTGTATACTTTTTTTCGCAACCTTTAAATTACTAGGGGTGATGGTGGGTGAAGTGGTAATATCATCGGACTCATAAGCTTGAGGTCCAGGTTAATGTCCTGAAGTCATGAGATTCAGCTCATCGAGCCTGTTCCACCATTCAATGAGATCATGGCAGATCTGTGGGACAGAATTAATTTTCCAGGTTATTGAGCTCTTAGCTAAAGGTAAAAGTCAGGAACCTGACCTTTGCTCCCTTTCTACAGAAACATTTGGTCTGCACCATAAAATCATTATCCATAAAAACATGCCCATCCATCAAACAATGAGATGGCAAATTGATGTCTGAGCAGCTTAGTGCTTAAACTAATCTGGATAGCACGTCCTGTCTTTAATAGGAAGAAGGAATTGTATTGGAATGAATCTTTAAAATTACCATTTGGCTTATTTGAAAGAAGTAATGTAATGACCAATCTAACCCACTAGAGGGTAATCATAAACTCCATTGCAAGAGATAAGTGTTGCTATAATACCCAAATGACTCAGAAACAAGACCAAAGCATCACATAGATGGTACATATCTTGTTTGAGACCACAATGTACAAAGGATTTAGTTGCACGTGGCTGAAAAGAGAGGTGTTAGACAGACATTTAGCTTCTCATGTTTCTCATCTATCACTTTTCCCAGTTCCACTCAAGTTGTATTACCATAGCAACAATTTTCAGAACAGTGGCAGGTGACACTGTACACTAGCAGAGTGGATAATTTAAAACTAAGACATTGCAATATGTAAAAACGGATACAGATACTGGATACCATGCCCTGTATTAGCTAGTTTTGCACATTTTATGGTCTACTTTCATAACTCTCAAATTTTATATCAGAAAATAAGGAATAACCTTGCTCTTATGTTTTATTTTAGGGATCTTGTACATTAATCCTGCAGACCTCGGCTGGAACCCCCCAGTGAGCAGCTGGATTGACAAACGAGAGATCCAGTCTGAGAAAGCGAACCTGACTATCTTATTTGAGAAATACCTGCCTTTGTGTCTGGATACTCTTCGGACAAGGTAAGGGAAATAAAGGTCGAGCACAGACTGTACTGAACTGAACATTTTACAACAAGACTTGAGCTTTGCAGTTGTTGCACTAAAGTGGCACAGCATGTTTGAACGCTTTCCCTAGTTAGTAATATTCCTGTGTTTTTTTTTGCAATAAAGTACTACAAAATGGAGAGCAAACTGGAGATCAGTTGATGCATTACCTGAAGCCCAAACAACTGAACTGAAATTTTGAAGCATTTTAAACACAATGAGAATCCTTCTGAAAATTTGAATCTAGCAGTCACATTGTACATGTATATATGTTACAAGTACATGCACTAAGGTACCCTTGTACCTAAAATGGTGCTGTAAGTGGCATTTTATAAACTTTTCACTGTATTCATTTGAGTACATGTGACAATAAAAGTAATTCATTCATTTGTCTGTCCCTCCGTCCATTCATCCGTCCATTCAGATTCAGTTCCACATTCTGTCACATTGAGAGAAATGGTTAAGTTGCTTTGGTGCACTGCTGGACTGACCTCAGTGTCCTTCAGGTTCACAGCTTTTAAGCATTTGCCCTTTCAAAACAAACATTTAACAGTAGAACAGAAATCCTATGTTACTTTTTAGTTAGTTCTCTGAGATTTAGTTATCTCTCACACAGGAAAGGATTTCTCTTCTTATTCTCTTGAACTGGTTTCCACAGGTTTAAGAAGATCATCCCAGTCCCAGAGCAGAGTATGGTCCAGATGCTTTGCTACTTATTAGAGTGCTTGTTGACAAAGGAAAATACACCCCCAGACAGCCACAAGGATCTGTACGAACTCTATTTCATTTTTGCTGCCATTTGGGCGTTCGGTGGTGCAATGTTTCAGGACCAGGTGAGAACATGATTCTGGTTTGGAAAGTCAGAGATTTATAGCATCTAATAAGTTTTTGTGCCATGAAGGTAATAGAAGTAAAGTAGGTGGTAATGAAATGGCAGCTATCGCTTTCGGTTCTGCTCGTTTACAAGTGATTTTGTGATCCTTTATTTTGTCTCCTCAGTTTCTGTTTAAATCTCTTTCCCCTGCTTTGAAAAGATAAAGGAATAGTGTCTGACAAAAAAAAATGTAGAAATGAATAACTCAAGAACGGATTTGTAGCCTTATACCAAATCTAATGGGGCTGAACCTCAGTCCATGAGCTGCTTTTCTTTTGAATGTGGATTTCATGATTAAATGAAAAGTGAAAACGTAGCAGGTGCCACCTATGGAGTTAAATGAAAGAGCGATTTGAGGATTTGTGGATGGTCCGCTTAAAATAAGTCCAGGGATAGTATCAAAAAGCAGTTCAAATAATCCAGATCCATAAGCTGTGTTCTTTTCAGCAGTGATATCAGGATCAGTTTTTACAAAGTCCTTTTATGGGGAGACTTCATCTCTTTCACATCCAAGTGGAGCTAACTATGTACAAGGATGATTTCCTCTCTGTCTCCATCTCATGTTAAAGTTTGCCCAGAAGCTGATGATGTTTGTGTCCCTCAAAGATAAGTAACAATCTGTGTTACAACAGTCTATGCTGTCCACCAGAATTCTCATTCTCATTCTTATGTTGTGAGGCATTGAGATGTAGACATAATTGCGTCATTATCATGGTGGTGAATTCACTCTGTATTAGTATTTCTAATGCTCTGGGAACATGTTTGAAATCCCACCATGGCAGGTTTCAGCGTTTAAATTCACTTATTAAATTGAAGGAACTGAAAGCTTGGCTCAGTACTGAAGACCACCAAACTAATGAACCATCTGGTTCATTAATGACTTTTAGTGAGTAAAATCTACCATTCTGACCTAGTCTGGCCTATTTGTGACTGCATACTCACAGAAATAAGGTTGGTTATTAACTGCCCTTTCCCTTAGCTCTAAGGTCAATTAGGAATGGACAGCACACATCTCACGAAAAATAGAAAACCTTGACATGTTGATTTTACTTATTCCTATCAGCTGTTGTTCTCCTCCGACAATGTGATTTTTCACACTTCTTGATATGTTTTGTGGTGTCTCTAGTATTTTTTTCATTCTCTTTTCTCCCTGTATCTACCTTGTAGGAACATAGGTTCAGGAGTAGGCCATTGAGCCCCTTGAGCCTATTCCACCATTCAGTGAGATCATGGCTGATTTGTGGTCTAACTCCATGTACCTGCCTTTGGCCCATTTCCTTTAATAACTTTGCTTAACAAAAAAATGTATCTCTTTCAGATTTATAATTAATGACTGATTTTGTATTAACTGCCGAATCTGTAAGAGAGTGCCAAACATCTCCCACCCTTTGTGTGCAGAAGTGTTTCCTAAAATACTTCCTGAATAGTCTGGCCCAGATTCTTAGACAATACCTCCTAGTTCTAGAATGCCCAACTAGTGGAAATAGTTTATCTTTATCTGACTTGCATTATAAAGTGGAAGTTGATCCCCCCAACTCTGAGAACGAAAACCAAAAGAGCCAAAGAGGAGCACCTTGCCCGATAATCTGTTAAAAGGAGTGTGAAAAGGGGTGTAACCTGTCATTTAGCAACTTCTAGTGGTTAAATCCAGTAAATCCCTAACACTCACTCCACAATCAACAAGGAGTAATTTATTTATCTAACTGCAACAATGAACAAACCAAACAAAATCCCTTCTAACTGCTAACTATTCTCGAATAAAACAAGATTCTAATGTTATGCTGTTCCGACAAATACAAGTCCCACTTATATAACAAAACAGTAGAATTTAGCCTCTTGAAGTTACGGCCAGGTTATGTCTTCCAGAATGTTCTGTGTCTTCTCTGTCGATTCTGCTGTCAGGAATGCTTTCTCTGAGAATTCTTTTGTCAGGAATCTTAGCTAGGAGTGCCGTGGTAACGTTGTGAATAGATGGTGCTTTCTGTAAGAGCTGAGAGCTGTTATCTCTAGCAGATGGCAATTAGCTGTGTTGTTAATTCTCAAAGGAAGACGGAATAACCAATTGCAGAGAACCAACAATTTTTATGACATCAATAAAGATAATTATTGTGACTGTGTGAAAAAAGAACAAGACTTACAGTAAAAACTTAGCACAAAAACAGCGACAAATAAAAGCTGCAGAAATATGCTGTGACATCCTCCAAGTGGAAACATCAGTAATTTTTTACCCTGCAGCACAAGTAGAAATGTAGCTTCAGTTGTCGAAATGTTGATTCAGTGAACATACCTCACTTTGATTTGTTTTGAGTAAAACAACGGGTATTAACAGTGACGTAAAGTCTGTACAAAAATGAATACGATGTGAAAACGATTTGGAAAATATTCTGCACCCACCCCTGTCTCTGTTAATGTCAAGGTCTCCAAGATTTGAAAACTTAAAGAACCAACCACTGTACTAACTGTGATTCCTTTTGCAACTTGAATGACATCACCATTTAGAGAACCTTTTGTTTTCACTAGTCTATCCTTCCATCACCCCTAAACCACCAATTTCCCATTGCCATTTGGTGCTGATTTAGTCTTTAGTAGAAATACTAAAAGGCCCATTTTAAGTATCGAAGTCTTAGAGTCATGCAGCATGGATATTGGTGCTAAGAACGGTCTGTGAGCTCAAAGACAGAGGCCTGAGATAATTGGCATCATCTAAGATTTTCCTCTGGTGTCTATTGTACATCCCCAGGTCACTGAACAGGCACATGTCACTATGGGCCACAGACCACACTGACAGTGACCCTTCTTAAAAACACATGACTTAGCCTTTGGGTGACAGCTTCTTCATAAAAGGCTGAACACTTGCTTTGGTCAGAGCAGCTTAATTTCTGAAAGAGTCTCCAAACCATGTGTGAGGCCTGCCATCAGCCTATCAAAAAGGCCAATGTCCGTTTTAAGTAGGCACCTTAAAAATGGTCCAATTCACAATTATGTGGAATTATTTTTTGGCACCTTTGAAGTACAGGATGTTGCATCTTGAAAATTGATACTTTGTGAACCTGTTTTGAAATTGCTGCAATATAGACCAACTTTTATACCACTAATGTTTCTAGTTGTCTTTTGCTGACTGTTGAGGAGGTAAGGCTATAAGATATCAGGGCAGAATGAGACCATAGGGCTCATTGATTCTACTCCATCATTCGATCATCACTGATATGTTTCTCAACCTCATTCTTCTGTCTTCTCCCCGTAACCCTTGATCTGCTTACCAATCAAGAACCTATCTATCTCTGCCTTAAAGACACTCAATGAATTGGCCTCCACAGCCAAATTAGTTTCACAGATTAACCACCCTCTGGCTGAAGAAATTCCTCTTCATCCCAGTTCTAAAGGGTCATCCCTTCACTCTGAGGTTGTGCCCTTAAGTCCTTGTCTCTCCTACTAGTCGAAGCATCTTCTCCACATCCATTCTACCCAGACCTCTCAATATTCTGTAAGCTTCAATAAGGGGTCTCTCAACCATCTAAACCCTATCGAATAACTGTACTCATATTGTTCAGTAACCAGAAATTCAAAAGAAAGGGAATACTATCTACCTGCATATGGAAAGATGCCGGATGTTCAAGAGTAGTTTTAGCTCAATGAGTGTTTTTAAAAACAATAATTGCTACTAAATCTTGAGAAAGCCTACAAATCCAGAACCCCAGACTAAAATTCTGGACATTGGTTTGAATCCCACTAGGGCAGATGGGGAAATTTGAATTCAATAAAACCCTGGAATAAGAAATTAGCTAATACTGGCCATACAACCATTGTCAATTGTGTTCAAATCTGATTCACTGATGTTCTTTAGAGAAGGGAAACTGGCCAACATGTGACTCCAGACACCAAAGTGGTTTTCTCTGGGAAATTAAGGATGGAGAATAAAAGCAGATCAGTCACGAGTGCCCAAATCCCATTGAATGAATAGAAGAAAAGACTTAAGAATGGGAAGCTTTAATTCTGAGATGAGTAAAAGCCGAGATTTGAAATAAGTCGTGAATATATACATTCTCAGCATCTTTAAGTGAAGATGATTGGTTTTTGGTATGATCCCTTCATTAGAACTAGGAGACTGAAGCAAAGTATCAGATTAGTTTTTACTTAATATTGTCAGCTTTGATGATTGATGACAATTGTAAAATGCCTGCTGATGGAATTCTGTTTGGAGAATGCCTAATGACTGTGCTGTTATCGCCTTATCATTGTTGTCAACATTTAGGTGATTTTTAACTGGGGAGTTTTCTTCAAAAATATGTATGTTAGGTGGACCTTTGCAACTAATCTTGGTAGATTTGACTGTCAGAGCGAAGCCAAATATAAACTGGAGGAACAACACCTGATATTTTGCCTTGGCAGCTTACAGCCCAATGGTCTCAATATTGACTTCACCAGCTTCAAAATCTCTCCACCCCCAGCCTTATCCCATGTCCTACCCCGCCTCCTCGCCTCCCTGACCTGACCTAACCTGTCCATCTTCCTACTCACCAATCCGCTCCACTGTTCCCACTGACCAATAACAGTAATCCCCTACCTGCATCCACCTATCCACTCCACCTACCCTTCCCACCAGCCCCAGGCCCAGCCCCTTCTCTCTATTTACTTCTGGGCTTCAGATACAGATACATTAAAGTGACTCTTATATAGGCACATAGATGATAGTAAAATGTGGGATATGCAGGGTAGTTTGATCTTAGAGTAGGATAATAGGTTGGCACAACATCGTAGGCCGAAGGGCTTGTACTGTACTGTGCTGTACTATTCTATGCTCTATGTTATGTCCCCCCACCACCAAGTCCTGACAAAGGGTTTCAGCCCGAAACATTGACTTTCCTGCTCCTTGGATGATGTCTGACCTGCTGTGCTTTTCCAGCTTCACATCCATTGACTGACTTCCAGCATTTGTAGTCCTTACTGTCTCCAAGTCAC